TCTTGGAATAGCCTACCTATAGTGTGCGAAGGCTACCAACTGTCCAAGAGGAATCGTTCCCTCATCTACCAGAAAACACTTTTGAATCCAGTGAGTTTACCTGCGGGTTCCATCTGGCCCGTCCCCAGTTGCGATATTGAACGACCCCCAGATATGGAGGTCAGCTGTAACGAATAAGCAGTCGTGAAAAGTCAGGGGCGGGTACTATCAGGGTTGAAACGGTGGGATGGGTTGGGCGGAAAATCCGTCATCTACAAAATGGCCACATATAGCTGTATGACGATCATGTGACGAGGCGACAGTGACTCCCAAATAATAGGGTTAAAAATGATACCACTGCCTAGGGGATAAACTTGAGAAAGTCAAAGATTAAAGGAAACAACCTCGATAATACACGAGGCGGCAGCTTGGAACCCGACTAAAACAACGAACCCGATGAAATTCAAATAAAACCTATCTATCAAATGTTACGGTTTCCGAGGTAAACTGGCAGTCCCGTGACCCGAATGAATAGCATGCCAACTTGACTGCTCATCTGGCGTTCAATCACTCGATCTCCTGTTGCAACGAGGTTGCGTCGCTCCAGCCCGTAACTCAGGTTCGCAGTTGACCAGTTACATGCAGACACTGCCTGCCTCTCGGAAGCTTGCATTCCTCACACCGGATCAAGGTCAGTGACAGTTCCTCTGTTTGAACAACAACATTGGTTATTCCACAATGGCCTAGGCACAACTGGGGAAGAAATGGTGTGGTCATAGAACTCTCGGACAAGGGACAGGCTACTCTTCTCTCATGGCTAACGGTCAATTAGCGTCTTGTTTACACACGTTTGCGGGGGACTGTTTTTAACCTATTCATCATTGCCGTCTACAAGATTACCAAACATGACCTGATCATGGTAGCGGGAGACTGGATTGGGAAGGTAGGCCCTCGGGATCATGCTTCTGCTCATATGAACTTGGCACACGACGTGGTTGTGGAAAGTGGCTACTGTATTTCGCCGAACAAATTAAGTTGGTAGTGAAGAACACGTGGTTCCAGCACCATCGGAAACAGCCGTTAAGGTGGTACTCGAACGCGACTGTACGACGGACAGTCGGACCGATTATGAGCTGGTCAGTGCATGATGGGCTGGCTGTGTTCTCGACAGCATGTGGGCAATATCGCCGGTTCGCGGTTCGCGAGAAAATTCGCGTAAAGTTAGCGAAGAAGCCTGAGTAATCGAAGTCCCCCCAGAAGCGCACGGACCGCTCGAAACACCGGAATAAAATGCTCCAGCCGTTTAAGTAGGACGCATGAGGAATCGTCGTTGAACAGCAACAGCTAAGACATGCCGTACTGTGGACGAAAGGTGACTGTCGCTGAGGCACACCTTGCATCACTCCGCTACCAACATACTTAGTCGATGAGCCTTAAAATCGAACACCTCATCACACTCACAGTTCCGGTTACGGAGTTGACCGCTAAAGCTCATATGCTAGGCACGGTTGAGTTCCGTCCTCTTCGACGGCAAGCATCGGCATCCTACACAACGGACAAAATCTCGTACTGGAAGGTAGCTGATGCAATGAACTGCGTGACCGGCGAATGAGACATATGGAAGTTGCTCAATTTAGTTGGAATCGCTCAGTCATCTGATTATGCATATTTTTTTCATTTTTTGCCTCGTATATGAATAAACCGTATTTTGGTATGCGAACCAACGCACGAACAAGACTGTTCTTTCAGTTTAGAACCGAAACACTGGTTCTTCTGAACCAACAGATCACTGGAACCAAAACGCGCTTCATATATTGACACATGTCAAAATTCTGAAACGTACCTTCCA